ATATTTTTATCTATCAGTTATTTTAGCTTATTTTCTTTTTCTAATCATTTGTATTTAGCTTTTCTGATATTTAATATTATTTTTAATTTTATCCGTCCGTATTATTCCATTTTTTGTTATTTTTTTTTATTTATCTTTTATAATCATAATTTTTAATCTTTTTGATTACCATTATGAAATCCATATTCAAATTTTTAATATTTTATTGGATTTTTAACTCTATATATTTCAATATTGTTATCAAAATAAAGTAATGTTTACTATAGATACTCTATTTATACTCACGGCAATATAATTCTTCTCTTAAAAGAATCATCTGCCTATTATGTATATTATTATATAAACAAGTTCTTTAGTTTATTATATACTATTATGAAAATCCTTATTTTATAAATATTTCTTATTTTCTTTATATATAGAACAATCTAAGGCAGTAATTATAATTCCTTTATCTTTATCAATTATATTTTAAAGATTTTATGTAACTAATATCATATAAATGCATCTATTATTTCTAGTAGGATCATTTATATTGTTCTCTTTTTTTGATCTTCTTTAGTTAATTTATATTTGTATTTATATTATCTTAGTCATATTAATTCATTTTTATCAAAAGATTATTTATTAATTTAAATATGTAGTTAATAATTTTCTCTATAGTAAACTATAACAAGGACATATTCATTAAATACCTAAATCTTAAGAATCTACAGTTTAATTTTATATTTACATATTATACTTTTGTATTTAATTAGGTTAGCTATTATAGCGCCATTTTTTTATTCAGTATAATTTTCAATTACTTTACTTTAATAGTAGTTAGAATAGATAGAATAGATTCTACATTATATATTAATTTATGACAAAGAAATATGTTACTACATATCTTTTAAAAGATAATTTTATTTAAATTAAAGAAAGAATCTTTTCTTTATTAAAAAAGGACATTTTTGCTAATTTTTTATTTAATTTTTACAATAATTTTATTTCAGTTTTTATTAATTTTCATTTATTTTATTACTGTTTTTATTAATTGCTTATAATATATTATTAATGATTTTCTTGATTTATAATTGCATTATTTATATTGTTTATTTAGTTTTTATAATTATGAATTAATTAATCTATTTATTATTCTGTTTCTAGATTTTAAATTATTATAATATTTTTTTGTAATATAATGATAATCATTATTAATTTAATTTTTTTTATTTATATATATAATATTTTAATTAAAATTATAATTTTTTTATAAATAGTTTAATTTTATATTAATTCATTTTTTCATCAAATATATATTTTTTTAAATTAATTTGATAATTTTTTTTTATTCTATTATTTTAGTCTATTTATTATAAAGCTGAAATTATATTCGAAAAAATAATATAAATTTAAAATTAAATTTCTGAATTAAAAAATAATAGTATTTAATGTATATAAATATAAATATATAAATATATATATATATATATATACATATATATATATATATATTTTTTATTTTCTTTTATTTATTTATTTTATTTACTACTTTTATATTTTTTTTTTATTTATTTATTTATTATGTATTTTTTTTTTATTTCTATTATTTATTATATTGTTTTTTTAAGATTTCCTATCTTTTTTTGTTCTTTATTTGAATTATTATTGTTTTTTTTTATACTTTTTTTTTTTAGTTTTTAAAATATATATATATTTATGTATATATAAATAATATTCTTAAAAAATGGGTTATTAGAATTATAGCCTTAAAATATTTATTTCGCATGCATTTAATTTAGATTTAACTATATTTTTATTTTTTATTTAAATCAATTTTTTTTTTAATAATTTTTTTTATTAAAATATATTGATAAATTATATTATACATTTTTTTACTTAAATTATTTAATTATTTTTTATGAATTATTACAACTCATATATAAAATTTATAATCTATTTATTAATTTCATATATTTTTAAATATACTTATGTACTTATTTTTTTAAAAAAAACAAATACTTTATTAATATAAATATATTAATTTACAATCAAAAAAATAATAAATAAAAATGCAAACAAATCAATAACTTGATTAAATAAATTAATAACCATAGAAGGTTTAATAAAAAGTTGAAAAAGTAATACAAGAGATCTTATAAAAAAAAGATAATATTACAGGATAGCTCTTAATCCAAAAGTTTACAGTAGAATATATAATTAATACTTTAGAAATTGAATAATTAGATATATTAAAATAAAAATTTTAAGATTTTTAAAATGGATTAGGAATCATATAATTTTTAAAAATAATGATTGATATAAATAAATATAATAATGAAAGTATATTATTTTATATATTCGCAGTTATAGACTTATTTTATTCTATTTAAAAAAACATTAATAACTAAAATAATATATATTTTAACGATTTAACCGATTTTATACATAAAGTATATCTAAATACATTTTTTTAAAAAATAAAATAAAAATAAAAACAAATATATATTCATATATAGATATTAATATAATATATTTATATATAAAAAGAGATATTAAGATAAAAACTTATTTGATTATAAAATTCCTACATATTTAATGGCTAAATAAAATATATTTAATAATAATTTTAGTTAACAAAGAGTAATAGATATAGTAAAAAACTCAAATTTTTATAAAAAATAATTAAATAAATAAAATATAAATAAAGGAAACTCCTTAAATAATAGGTTCTTATAACGAAGGAATTTCTTTACTTAAATAAAATACTATAAAATTTGATAGCCAAAAACATAAAGAAGATAGTATATTAAAGTAACATATTATAACAATTTATAAATAATTTAGAATAAAATTATATAAAAATATTATAATAGAGGACAATATTCAGAAGATTTAAAATAATTAATTGTATTAGAAAGTCTATCAAGTACAATATGTTTTTATGATACAAAGCTCCAATTAATAAATACAATAAGTCCTTAATAATAAAAAAAAGAATAAAACAATTTAATAATAATATTAGCTTTTTGTTGGTCAGAAATCGAATAAAGGGTTTTTTTTAAAAAAATAAAAATAAAATATTGTTTACTATATATTTATTTTTTGTTAAAAAAAATAAAAAATAGATTGGAGCATGCCTAAAAGATTATTCACTTATATTTTGGGACAAAAGTGATAATTTCAAATTCTAAAAAGTATTTTCTATAGCCCAATATGTAACTGAATATGGCACTTAAATTTGGTATTTAGAAAACGCACGAATATGGGTTACTACTGATAATTAAAATTGTTTATATATTTGGAATTTACTTGAAGAAAAACTAGAAAAAAAATAAATACTAATTAATATGTTCAAACTTCTATTTCTAATATTGTCGAAATTATTCATTTGAGGCTTTTTGCAGTTGTTTCTCTTGATAAAAATATAACTGTTTGGGATTTTTAGAAATAACAATTGGTTATTAATATTAAGGAAAAAAGTACACACCATATAATATATTCATATAGTTTTAAACTTTTAATATTTGCCGGATATAAACCTTAAATTAATTTGTTTTCTATTACACCTAAATATTTTGATTATCAGTATATCATTTTATAAAATAAAAAACAAAAATAAATATATATTATAAATATAATAATAATAAAAGCTTATGTGGATAACTGATTGGGCATTAAAGTATTGTTACAGCTATTTAGTAAATAATAAATACATAAATGATTGTTTCGGCAGATGATTAGGGTGATATTAAATTGTGGGATTTAAGAACTTTTAGCTGCTTGTAAAGTATTTAGTTAAAACAAAAATAAATATAAATACGATTATCTATATTCAGAATTATAGAAAGTTGTGTTTTTTAACGTCAAGAATTTCTATTATTGATTTTTAAGAAAAGCAAAAGTATTCCGAAAATAAAATTTAAAAATAATTAATTGAAGCTTCTTATGAATTTCCAATTTAAGTATTTAAAAATATTTATTTTTATATTTTTCAAAAAATAAATAAAAAAGATTAATTTTGATAATGATAATTAAGAATTTCTAGTTTGCACTAAAAAAGATTTAAGAATATATGAAGGAAAAACAGGAAAAATATAAAAGCTAGTAAAAGGATTAGTCGAAACTGAGGAAAATAATGAACTTACATAAATTTTATTTATAAATAATTACACATAATATATAACAGGAGATGAGAAAGGATAAATAAGTATATATTTCAAGGATAGTCCTATAAATAAAATAGTATTTTATTTTTATTTATTTTTTAAAAAAAAGAATTAAATAAAAATAGAAATTAATTTCTCATACATAAGAAATATCCTAACTAAAATTTGACAATGAAAATAAAATCCTAATTTCAAGTGCATATGATTCCTAAATAATAATTTAAAAAATAAACCAAGATAGTCATTCAAATTTAATCCGAACAATAAAAAATGCAAACAAAAACTAACCAATAATCAAAATGGAATTTTCTTATTATAATAATATAATAATAACTTGTTCGAATAATTCAATAATTTATATATATAATTATGAATTACTTAAATGTATAGGATGTTTTTAATTACCTTTTTAATAATAAGTTATTGATTTTTTAATAATTGAGGATTTTTAAGTTATTTTAGTTTCCACAAATGATGGATTCATTTATATTTTGTAAATTAATAATTTTTAGCCTTTATAAATATAAATAGTTGAAATTATAGATTTAATAGATAATAGAGATTATAGTTTATATAAGGAAATACTAAGTACATAGATAATAAATAATAATAATAAAAATTAATTTTCAAAAAGTCCTTCATTTTCAGAAGATATTGGTTAAAAATAATGTAATTAGAATTAATTTCCTTCTACTACTTCACATGCAAAAAGTAAATACAAATTAAATATAAATAATGGTTATTATTATTTACGTTCTAAACCATAAATGAAGGAAAAAATGTAATAAATACATTCTGTGGATATTAAATATAATTTAGCGGTTAAAATGTAAGTTGAAAATAATATCAAAAATAATAAATTGAACCTATTTGTAGGACTTTCTGACGGATTTGTTAAAGTATTTGATTTATTTGGTTTAGTTTATTTGAAAATTATTTAAAAATATTAGCCATATTATCTAAATAAAAAAATTATAATCCTAACAGGGTTAGTTAGGAAGATTTTCAAATAGACGAATTAGAAATAAAAAATAAAAAATAAATCTATATAAATAAATAATTAATATAAAATAATTTTAAATGACTAATTCTATTAAAATATTAAATTCTTTTAAAGCACATATAAATGGAATTAATTTTATATAATTAATATAAATAAATTTTTAGTATGCTTTTTTTTATTTTTTTTTAATATATATATAAAAAAAACATAGAAGCTTATTAGTTACTACTGTATAAGATGGATATTTTCGAATCTGGGATAAAAAAATGTAACTAACTTGTGATTTAAATATAAATCATCCTTTACCTATAGTATGGGATTTATAAATTAATAACTCTACCTATTTTAAAAAAAAGTTAAACCTTTTCTTTATTTTTCTTTATTTTTTATATATAAATAGCTATATTATTCAGTTAAAATATTAGGATTAGCAGCTGAATAATTTAGAAATGAAAATGTTTATTTTAAATTATTAAATGCTAGTAAATAATTAAAAGAAATTTATTTAAAAAGCTATAATGATGATGAGTATTAAGTATAAAATTAGGAATAAAATTAAAAAGATAAAAACTTATTAATGAACAATATATATTCAGTAAAAGAAATGTAATATTTATAAAAAAAAGAATTATTTTAATAAGAATTAAAAGGAATGGGATTAAAATAAATGGAATAAAAAAAAGTATATTTTAAAAAATATTCTATTTATAAATAATATTAAAAATATAAAAAAAGAGAATATAAATATTATAATAAAATCTATTAAATAAATAGTAAAAAATATAAATTTATAATAATGAAAATAAAGAGTAAATAGAAATAAAGCAATAATAAAAAAATACAAAGGAATTTCTTGATTTTGTCAGTTAAAATTACCGTGATAAATTAATACAAAATATAAAACCTATATATAAAACAAATTTAGGTTAAAAACTAGATTAGTAAATAAAGTAAAAATATAATTTTAATTATATATAAATAAATATATATATATATATATATATATATATATATATATATTTATTTATCTTTTTATAAAAAGAAAGATAAAATAATAAAAATTTTCTAATGAAACATAAGAAAGTTTTAATAAAAATGAAGATCTTAACAGAAAAATAAAAAATAAATTAATATCAGCAGAATCTACATGTAAACGATCAAGTTCTTCTTTTTATAAAAAGGATGCTAAAAATATATAAATTGAAGAATCAAAAAATGAGCCCAAAAAGAATAAATCTGATAATTTTTTCGAATATGCATAAAAGAAAAATTTATTTGAAGATAAATCTTAATATTTATCTCGATTAGAAAAAAATAAAAATAATTTAATTTAATAAAATTTAAATGATATATAAAATAAAAATAATAATAATTCTTCTATAACTATAAAGGAAAATAATTATTCTGTTTAATAATTTTATAGTAAAGAATTATCTAAATCTAAATTTTTTGAAAATAAAATACATTTATTATAAAATATATAGGAAAAAAATCGAATGAATTCTATTATAAAAAAACTTAATTCATAATTGGTGTTATCAAAACATTCCTATAAGTAAAATTCAAGTAATTTTTTTAATAGTAGTTTTTCTTAAGATAAAAAAATTATTTAAAAAAATGTTGTTAATAAATAATTATCAAATCCTGGATCTAAAAAAAATAGTGTATATTTAACGGATCATTTTAAAATTAATATTGAGGGCGATACTTATAATAAAATAGAAAATAATATATGTAAATAAAAAATTAATTAATCAAATATTGTTAATTTTCCAAATTTATATAATAAAATTATTAAGAATTGTAAAAAATGATAAATATAAATTAAAGTATTTTATATAAATGTTATATTTATTTTTTGATATTTTAAATATATATATATATATATATATTTTTATTATATATTTATATTAAATTTTTATATTTAATAATTCTTATATACAATTATTTAATCAATATATATATATGATAAAAAATAAAAATATATATAAGCTATTATATTATTTAAAGTATATTAAGATATTATAAAAATTTTATTCATGTATATAATCACTAAAAAAAAAAAAATATTGTTGATTTAATACAGAATTTTTTTATTATAAAAATCAATTAATTATTTATTTAAGGTTTTTTTTATTTAATATTACAAAAGATTTTCTTTATTAAATAATAATAATAATATTATTAGAAAATAAGTAATTTTTTTTTTAATAAAAAATTATATAATTTAATTTTAAAATAATGAATAAATCATAAAAATAAGACTAATATATAAGTACTCGATTATATTAAAAAAATTACAAAAATCTTTAAATAAAAAAAAGTATAGAATTCAGATGAAGAATAATTAGATTTTAAGAATAAGAGTACATATACAAAAATTAAAAAAACATTTTTTAATAAAAACATTTTGGTTTTTTTTAAATAAAATAAAGTGTAATTGAAAATAAATAATTATGAAATTATATCAAAATAAAATTAAAAATAAACCAAATTGTAATATTTGCAATATTAATTTTAAATAATAAAACATTTCTAAAAAACATTGGTATTTTATTATATTTTTTTAATAAAACTTTTAAAAAGTAAAAAATGTGGAGAATAAATATGTATTTATTGTTCTCGTAAAAAAATAAACGAATATAGAGTTTGTGACTTATGCTTTATGAGAAGTTATTAATCTAATGTATAATTATTTAAATAAATTATATATATAAATATTTATATGTAAAACTATAAATATAATTATTATATATAGATTTTAACATGTTTATATATTTATATATATATTTATTTAAATTTTTATATATTTTTATATATTTTTAATTTAGATAGAATATAGAAGAAATTAAGAAACATAAAAAATAATTGAAGAAATATAAAAAGAACAACTAATATTATAATAATTGCAAGATTTATTAATTAAAGATTAAAAATAATAATAATTTTAATAATAAGAGTCTTAATAAAATAAAATATATGAAGAAAAATTAAAAAAATTAGAAAATTTAAATAATGAAAATTAAGAATATAATAAAATGATTATTTATTAAGAAAAATCATCATAATATGAAAAAGAAAAATATTAGGATTTGAAAAAAAAATAATAAAATAATGAAATTTTATTAGAATAAATATTAAACAATAAAAAACAATAAGTACAAGATGATTTATTTAAAAAAGATATTTTATTGAAATAAGAATATTAGTTGAAAGATTTATAAAGATAATTGAAAAGACTAAAAAATACTGTATTATATATAAAAATTTATATATTAATTTATAAATATATTTATATATTTATTAATTTAAAAATAAAGAAAACTTTTGTTAATTATAATGACAATATTAAAAATTAAGAATGTTATAATGAAAGTGATGAAGAATATATTGAAGATGAAAATAATCTTACTTAATTATAAAAAACATTAAAAAACAAAAAAAGTAACAGAAAAAAAATGTTGTTGTAATTTATAATGATAAATAAATATGTAATATTAATAATAAAAATAATTAAATAAAAAAAAAAAACTATAACAATACATAAAATTTGTTTTTTTAATTATTTTTAAAAAAATAATAGAAACTATATGAATACAACAATTATTGTATTTCAATTATTCGTATAAATATATATATATATATATATATATATATATATATATATATATTTATATTTTTTTTATTTAAAATATTTGTTTAATATTTATAGTTATTCTATACTCAACCTAATTACACTATTTATAAGACTTTTATATCTACATTATTTCTTTATTTCATCCTTACAATTTTAATAATTTAATACTATATTTTCATGAAAAAGATTTATAATTATAAGTAAAAGTGTAATAATTTACAAGTTATTGTTCATAAAAATCATTGAAATCATAAAAATCAATTTTTTCGAATCAAATAATTTTTTGAAACTTCTCCAATCTCTAATAACTAAAAAGCACCTACATTAATAATTTTTCAATATATCTACATTTTCCTATACTTTCCGTTTATTTTATAACTTTATTTTGAAAAATATTAATTTAAGCCTAAACTATTATATTAGCAGATAATTATATTACATATAAAATTATATTTTACTTTTTATATAGTATTTATTATAATTTTCTTGAGATATAATGACATCTAAGATAATATTAATAAAATTTTTAATTCAAGAATATATATATTGATATTTCTTAAATCTGAAAATCATTTTATACTTCTTTTTTTTTTTTTTTTTTCGTATTATTTATTATTAATTTTCTTTTATGTTTTTAGGGTTTTTGTATATTAAGTGTATTTTATTTAATTTATATAAAAAATAAAATTATTAAAGATATTTTATATATAAATAAAAAAAATATTATTATAAATAAAAAAATTAATTAATAAATATAATTTTAACAAACTAAAATTAATATATCTATATTTAAAAAAATAATAAAATTAATATAATTTAAAAAAATAAAATGATATAATATAATAATATTTTGTATTATTTATTTAATATATAATTATTAATTATTATAAAAAATTTCAATTATAGTGTCTATTTATAATAACTTTTAATTTTATTTTTATTTTAAGATTTCATATTAGTGTATACATAGTATAAAAAATTATTACTTATTTGTTATTTTTTTTAAAAAAATATAAGAATTATTTAAAGATATATTAAAATAAACTATTATTAATAATTTACTTATAAAAAAGGTGAAAAAAATAATTTTTATTTATTTTTTTTATCTTTTATTTACTTTTTTATATTTATTATTAAAATAAACATATATATAAAAAAAAAGACAAAATAATAAAAATATAAAAATGTATGAAAATGAGTTTACAACTAAGTTTCATTCTACAAAAATCGACTAAACTGAAGGTTTTACTACTTTTACAAACATAAAAAAACAAATAATGCCTAAACTTCGCAAAAACACAACCGAAATGCATTAATTATACTACATTTTTTTCTAAAAAAAACTATTATTAGAACCCTCTTAGGATAATTCATAAAAAATAAAAATTAAATTAAAAGCATAAAATCCAGAAAATAAATCATCCGAAAAAGAAATATCATCTCCAGAATAAAATGTAACTTTAAAATAAATATCATAAAACCAAATCATGAAAAATGCATCTTTTTAAAATCAATATACAGGATAAAAATAAATAATATAAATAGTACAAATTGTATGTTCGAGTATTTTTTTAGGTATTTTTTTATCTTTTATATCCTCTTTATTATCTTATCCATTCTAAAATAATACTATTTTATGTCTATTAACATACCCTTTATTAGGAATAACAGTACAAAGCCTCTATTTAGGTATAGAATATAATTTTTTCGAAGAAATAGTGAAAATTGAGGATGAAAAAAAGGCAAATTTATATATATAAATATACTAAGAAAAAAATGAAAATTAAAAAAAAAATTAAAATCTAAAAATGTATAAAATTTTAATTAGAAATATAATTATAATAACAATTTTAGTAAGCATTGTTTATTCATTAATTATTGAAAGATATATAATAAAATAATTTCTATACTAAAATAATTCAAATTTAATTTTCTTTTATAAAACAGTACTAAGAATTATCTTTATTTTTATTTTATTTTTAATAAATGATATTTCAATAATTATACACTATACTACTATTAATAAATATTTCTCATAGTATAATGCATCTTTAAAATAAAATGCATAAATGTAAAATATATATAAAGATTTACAACTCGAAATATAATAAAAAGAGCGTTTATATATAAAATAAAATATACAGAAATAAATATTAAATAAATAATAATAATAATAATAATAATAATAAAATTTTTAATCTATACGAAATTTAAATCAAACCTTGTTTTAAGAATAATAAATATAATATTGGCAAAAAATATAAACTTAGGATATTTTTTGTGTGAAAAAAAATATTTTTCTTTAAATAACATTCTTATCTTTTTCAATAATTATAAACTAAAGCCTAAACACTCAATTAATTTATAAAAAAAATGCCTTTTTATCCTTATTTGTACTATTACTATATTTTTTTATATTCACTATATTATTGTTTAAAGGGAGTTTTTAGATTTTGAAAAATCGGAAAGAAATATCATCTAAAAAAAGCCGAATTTTTCTTTTTCTTTCTTTTTCGATTTCCTTAAGAGCTTCTTTTTTTGATTTTAAATGTAAAAATTTTCTCATTTTAAATTTTTAACTTTTTTTTAAGATTTTTTTTGTTTTTTTTCTGCTGAAATTTTCCCTTTCTTTTTAAATTTTTTTACTTAAAAAAAAATACTCAAGAAAAGTCTCTAAAAAATCAAGGAAAAACATTAAATAATGCATTAAAAAATTCCTATATAATAAATAAGACCTTCCTTTGTTTATGAAAAAAATATTTTAAATAGCCAAATTATATTTTTCTAGTAAAAACTAACACTCATATAATACCTTATTACTTTTATTTTTTGCGATATTTGTTAAATTTTTGCTTTTGTTTCGCTTTATTTTTTCGAAAAGATCTTTTTTTTTCCTTTTAGAGGATTAGAAGGGCTTATATGTGATGACTTTTAGACACTTTATATTAGTTTTCCAATAGAAATCGGATGTTATTTGGCTTTATTGGCATTTTGTATCATTAAATTTAAAAAAAATGTAATTGAAAATGAAGATAAGACAATAGGAATACATAATTTTACAGAATATACCAAAGATCTTATTATATAAAATGGATTTATAATAATAAATATTTAAATTTTTATATGGTTTTTTATATTATTTTTATATAAAAATTGAAAATAAAAAATATCATTTTTTTCTTTTTTTTGCAAATTTTTTTGATATATTTTTATAAATTTATTCTTCATTTTAATTATTAGAATCTACAATAATTTTTTCTTAAAATACCTAATTTTTTTCATCAATATTCAATTATTAATTATATTAAATTTACAATTATAAATTTTCATCGATACTAGATTATTTTATTTATAATATATCTTACATTTCTAATAATTATTATTAATTAAAAAAAGATTTATCATTCATAATAAATTCTTAACCCATTTCTTTAAAAAAATTCACTGCAATGGCAGAGACAACTTCACTAGAAATATCTACATTATAATCTTTTATTTATTTTTTAATCCATTCTGGTAATTTTTTCTTAACTAAACTTCTGGCAAATCTCTAAAATAATAAAAATATTATATATATATATACATATATATTTATATATAATATATATATATATATATATATATTTTATATTTTAATATTTATATATAATGTTTACTTTTTCAGCCATAATCATTAGTCCATAGTCGTTTTTTCCTCTCATAACTCTTCCTAAACATTATGCGCATTATCTCATTGCATCGAATTCTATGTATTCGTTTTTTGTCACTTTAAAATTTTCAGTAAGGTATTTTACTCTTTCTAATAAAATAGGATCATTAGAATTTTAGACTGGGAAACCTAGCATTATAACACATCGTCCATATTATTCATTAAAATCTATTCCTTCTGCTACTTTTCCCCTTGCGATTGAAAAAAATATAGCTCCTCGTCCATAATCGCATGCTCTTCTGAAATGAAAAAGACTCTTATATAAATATATATATATTTCATTCATATATATTTTAATTTTTTACTTACGATGTTTAGGCAACATCTTTGCTTTCGAAATATACTAACTTATATTTTCTTAATTCATCTAAAATACCATCTTAATCCCATTCAAATATTATTTATTCCATATATCTATTATTTTATATATAAAAAATAAACATATGTATACCTGTAAGAAGGAAAAAAAGCCACAATACCATCTGGACAAATTTTACTAATATCAATTAATAAAGCACCAAAACTTCTAGTAACTGTCATATTTTATCTTGCTTCGAATTCTGAACTTAAAGCAGTAAAATCAAGTCCTTTAGTTACAATTATTGGATTAATAGAGTTTCTTGATAATTCAATATCTATACTCTTTAATATTTAATTATTATTTTAGTTGAAAAAAAGTAGTTAAATACTTTTAACATAAAAGGATTAAAATTTAATATTTTTGGATAAATATCTAATGGTGACATAGTTCCTGATGTTAAAATTACAGATGCGTATTCTTTAAATACGTTTTATATTGCTAACGATGAATCTAAACATGTAAAAGTTAATAAAGGATCACTTAACGATCCATCTAAAGGAGAAGGTTAGAATATTATTTTAAATCTATTTAAATTTTAATATATATATATTAATATAAAATTATATATAAATATATTATAAATAAGAATATATATATTTATTTATTATATATATATGTTTTTATATTATGTATATATATATTTATTTATTAAATTTAAACCCTCTCTAATTCATAGCTAATAAAGTAGAAAATTAAGCAATAGTAGTAATAGCTACATATTCATCATTATCAGTAATTTCTAAAGACATAAATAATTATGATAATCTTTCTTCTGCGAATCTAATTTATATATTATTATTATTTTTTTAACAAAAAGTACTTCAAGGATGTTTAGTCTATGTGATTTTATATTTGCATATCACTTAAAAATTAAGGCGGGTCTTAATTAATACAATTTTTTTCTTTGAGTTTATTTTTTAAAAACATTAATATTTTCTTTAAAAATAAGACAAAAGGTTTTGCTAAACGAATTTATAAAGGAATTGATTATTTAGCTAATTCTTCAAATACTCCCTTTATTAATAAATAAAAACTAATAAATATATTAATTTAATAAAAAAAAAAACTTATTTTTAATTTTCTTAAACTTATTCTTCTGTAATAATATTTTTTTCTTTAAACCATTTAATAATTATTTATATTCATTTTCTAAACTTTATTAACTTTAATTTTTCATATTATCAATCTAATAATTTAATATTTATATATATATATATATATATATATATATATATATATTTATATATATATATATATTTTTATGTTTATATCTTTTCATATTTCTTTTTTTATTACTTTTAATTCTAATTATTCAACGTTTTTATAAGCTGAATCTAATAATCTTTTATTAATATTTACAGTAAAAACATCTAAGCAAATATTATCAATATTATGAGCCTCATCAAAGACTACTATACAATCTTTTTATAGAGACTATAAATAAAAATTTATTAATATAATATTCTATTTATTTACTTTATTAATAATATCTTTCATTTAAGGACTTAACAAATACATATAATTATAAACTACAATATTACTATCATTGACTAATTTTCTTGCTAAAAAATAAGGGCAAATATTTTTTTATTTTCCTATTTCTTTTAAATCATCAATGTTATAAATTCCTTCTTTAAATTCAATTTCTTCTTTTTTTTCTTCGAAATTTTCAAAAAATGTACATAATTTTTATTCTCCTTTTTCTCCTCTAAACCTTACCCATTTAGCAGTTAATTTTAAGCATTCATCATCTATTTTTTCTTTCTTTTATTAATTTTAAACTAAAGGATTTATACATAAATTACTCCTATTTTATTATTTTCTTAATATATAAATTATTTATTATTATATACCTTGCAGATAATGCAGTACATAAAAATTTAAATTCTCTTTTTTCCTCTAATATATATTTTTTTGTATTTTCTAATACAAATTTTAATTCTTCTATTGTTTTTTCCATTTCAACAACTGTTCTTGTACAATATAATAGCTTTTTTTTATATTTTTTTGTTTCATTAATTATATATAAGTATCATTATTATTTTACTTTTTTAAATTTGCCTTAATTTTATAATAAATAAGATGATATTAATGATAATAAACAGACAGTTTTTCCAGTTCCTGTAGGCATTTCTATTATTCCATGTCCCTTTATATATAAATATTTTCATTTTTTTTCTATATTTAAAAAATATACTTAATTATCTAATATTAATTTAAGATCTTTCATATATTCAAGTTATTCCTTATAAAGAGATTAATATGGAAAATAAACTGGAAGATCATTTATATAAAATTTCATTTTTTTTATTTTATTTTTTATTTTATTTTATAAAGTGGGGTGGGGGGGGGGATAAATTTATTATTAATATTTAATATTTTATAATTATAAAATACATATAAAATTAAAAATATTTTTCAATCTTTTTTATATGTATCAAATATAAAATCAAAATCCTCTTAATTCTAAATAATAGGGTTAATTAAAGAATATTTAGAATCAATATTAATATCAAAATAAATGAAAATAGAGTATAGTAAAATAAAATAAAATAAGGCTTTGTTAATTAAATAAATTTTAAATGATCCTTAATCATATAAACTAAGACTATTTTTATATTAAAGTTCATTTAATAATTAAATTCCTTATAAATTAATTACTTATCCTAAGATAATGAATTTATCTTAATTTCTTTTTTATATTTTATTTTTAAATTAAAAAAAAAAAAAAATATTTACTTTTTTAATACTTATATTTAAAATTCATTGTTAATAAATTATATATTTCCATTTTAAAAAAATAAAACACTTCCAATATGTACATTTTATTAAGTTTATTCAAAATATAAATATGAATTAAATAAATTTTCAGAAAATTAAATAATTTATTTAATTTTTTATTAATATTTTGAACTCTCATTAATAAATTAAAACTAAAATTGGTTATTGAGTATAGCATTATTATTAAATTAAAATTATTACAAATTCTCAAATATTTAATTAGAAAGAATATTATTAGATTGGTTAAAACAAATAATTATTTTTCCTAAAGAAAGAATGGCACCCTTATTCTTAAACGTCTAAAAAATAATATCGTTATTATATAAAGACTTAAATAAAAATTAAAAATTAGAAAAATGATTTTGACTTGAAAATTATTTAAGATTTTACATTTAATAAAATAATAAATATGAAATAATATATTAAAAAAAACTATATATATTTAATAAATATATAAATATATATATATATTTATATATATATATAAATATATAATAACTTAAAATCAAATATTTTAATTAAATTATAATTATTATTAAGAAAAATTGAAATAAATTTATAATTAATTTTCTATTATTTATTTAACTTCCTACAATGAATATTTTCTTTCGTTATTTTTATTAATAATTTATTACATTTAAATTACAATTTATAAATTTTAAATTGCGTTGGTGTTATTAGCGAAAAATCCAACTATTTATTTCATAAAATTTTCATTATTTTCCAACTAAAAATCTCTTTAAATTTACTCTATTATATATTTTCTATTTTATTCTTCGAAAAATTTAAATAAATCAATCCAATTTATTCTATCTTCTTCCTTTATTTATAACATTTTAGTAATTATCTATTATTAATTTTTAGATATAAAAGGTTAATCTGGAAATTGAAGTGGCCTATTTAATATGTTCTGTAATAAATCAAAATAATTCTTACCCTCCCAAGGTGTTCTTTTATATAATATTTCATAATAAAGTATTCCTAATGACCATATATCTGTTTTTGATGAATAACTTTATTACTAAAGCACTTAAGGGGACATATAAAGAGGAGTTCCTACAAAAGATACTAATATAGGCTCTTCCATACCTGTCTCGATTACTTTTGAAAAACCAAAATCTGCGATTTTAACAGATTAGTCATTTAAAAGAACATTTAATAATTTTAAATCTCTATGTACTATATTATTATTATGCAAACATTAAAAACCTTCCATAATTTAAAACATAATATTAAATAAATCATGTTCTTTTAATTAAGAATTATTGTAAATATATTTTTACAAATTTCCTTAATTACAATATTCCACAATCATATACAAATTATTTTCAGTTCTTATTATAAGTTATATTATTAAATATCAATCATATAAAATAAAAAATTTAATTATATAAATATATATAAAAATATATGAATATATATATATATAAATAAAAAAATTATATATAATATATATATATATATATATAAATAAATAATAATTTATTTAATTTTTTTTTTACTTTATTACATCATATAATTGTACTATATTTTTATGTTTTAACATTTTCATATTTTTTATTTCATTTTTTAATGAAGGAATTATTTTTTCAGGTTATGCTCTAAATTTCGCTAATGGAATTATTTTTATTGCTACATCTTTATTGTCTTTTGTATCTTGACCTTAAAATACATTACCGAAACTACCTTTTCCTAATAATTTTTCTTTATATATTATATAGTGTTACAGAATTTTAATATTTTTTTTATCCATTTAATTATTTTTTTATTTATTATTTTTTGATTTATTTATTTATTAATAATAAGTTTTTTTGTTTTCGTATTATTAAAAATATATTTCTTTTTACCTTATATATAATTAATAGTATTAATTTTTTTTTTTTTGTTATTAATAATAATTAAAAATATTTTATAAAATTAATAACTTTATTATTATTTTTATAAATAAATAAACACTAAATTAAAAAAATTATATAAAACTTTTTGATAATTATTGCACTTTTTTTAAAAAAATTCTCTTTTTAAATAATTTAATTTTATATTGTTTATAAAATTAATTATAAAATATATAAATAGGTTTATAAATATTTATATAACATAATAAAAAACTTTAAATAATTAAGATATTAAAGATTTATATTATATATTATGTAATTTTAAATATTTAATAATAAAATTAAAAATATAAATTTAAGAACACAATCGTTAATTTTATATAATAATTAAGATAAAAGACTTAAAAAAAAATATTTAATTTTAATAAATAATAGTGTATTAATACTAAAATAATATATATTTAAAAAAAAATAAAAAGTAAAATATATAATTTTATAAAATATAATAATATATTTTATAATATTAAATTTATTCTAATAAAATAAATATAATAAAAAAAAATAGTATATTTTTGAAACTAAAAATTTATAATATATATAAAAAAAGATAAAAAATAAAGATAAAAAATAAATAAAAAATATTACAATGATAAAAAAAAAAATGATAAAATAATAAAATTATATATAAAATTTAGAAAATTATAAATATATATATATATAAATATATATAAAACTATATTAATTTATATTTTTATATAAATATAATTATAATAATAAATTTTTTATATATTTATAATTATATATATTTTTATATATTTATATTTAATAAAATGTATTTATTTGTATTTACATATATTATTATACTTTAGATATATTTTGTTTTTATATATTATCATTATTATCCTAGTTAATTGTAAAACGAATTAATTTAATTTTAAATTAAAAACAAACTTTCATGTTTTTTATATTAAAATTATTTTGTTATTTAAAAGTTTTTATTTTTTTCTTTTTAATCTATTTATCTTATTAAAAATGAATTTAATTTTTTATCTTCCTGAACCTTATCTTATTATTTTATTTTTATAATTTATTCACAAAATTATTCGTTCTGTTTTTATTATATTCCTAATTTTTTATGTAACTATAATAATTTTTGTGATTTTTTGTCTTTTTTATTTAAAATTCTACTTATAGCCACATATTTTTATTTATAATATTTTACTAAATTTCTTATTTTTGATTTTAATAAATATTCAAAAAATTTAAATATTTATTTTTTTTGTTTTCCCTTTGTGTAAAAACATTCATATATTCTTTATCTTTAATAAATTCTATAAAAATCTTTTTATTTTATCCAAAATCTTATTCTTTATTAACACATTCAACTACAAAAGGTACCCCGAAATCTATTTTTTAATTTATATTTACACTTAAATTTCTCAAAATAGGCTTGTTTAGAGTTTTTGTATCATTTTTTACTTAATGATATGATGCACTTTTAATAATTATAGCATTATTTTAACAATTTTATTATTTTTATTTATATATATTAGAAATAGATTCCTTTATTTAATTAACTTTTTTTAGCTTTTTTATATGTTATTTAATTAAGTCTTTATTTTTAATTTATTCTAATTTAAATATATTCTTTTTCTTTTAAATATTTTTCTAATTCTTCATCATTGCTTTTTATCATTTTTTAATTATTTTTTATAAAACTATAAAAAAGTTAAAAAAAAATTAAATATTAAAATCAATAAATTTTATTTAAAAAATAAATAAAAATGCAAATTTAATTTATTTACATATTTTTTATTATTTTATAAATTATAGGAACAGAAGAAGAAAAAAATTAACTTAACATAAAAAAAACTTCGAATAATGTCTATAAAAAAATTGCAATGCAAAAAGTTGTTAAAAAAGATAAACAATATGTACAGAAGATATGAAAAAGTTCGTTTAATGTTAAAATATAAAATACTATATGTAAATTAGATGGAGTTCCTGATATTGAATATACATCTAAAATGATATTATGTATAAAAGATTGTGAACAAGAAAATAAGTACATAAATGAATTTAAGGAATATATAAATTGTATAAAGACATGTTAAGGATAAATACTATTAAATTAATATATAATATGGATACTTATTATAGTAATAAATTTATGAAAAAATAAATAAATATACAAAATTCTAATAATTTAATATAAAAAATATAAATATAAAAATATAAATATATATATATATATATGTATATATATATATAAATTATTTTTTATATATCTTTAAATTATTTTTAATTTATTTTTACTTTTTTTATTATTATATTATATATTTATATTAATTCATATTTTTTTAGAGTATTAATTATAATAAGTATTTTTTTTTTAACACTTTTCTTATAAATTATTATTATTTATATTTGGATCTATAAAATTAATTTACTCCTAAAGTCTTAAAATACAATTATTTATATATTCGAAATCTTAAATAATATTTATTTCTTTAAAGCTTTCTTATAAATTTAATATATCTTTATTGTTTTAAATTTTTTATTATTATTATACAAATCTTACCATATTTCTAAAAATAATGTTTGCTTCCTTTATATATTATTATATTTATAATTTTTTTATTTATATATATACTTCTAAACTAATATTAATATTTTTTTTTCTTTTAAGAGTTTTTACATTGTTTAAATCATTGTCTTTTTTGTAGTTTTAAAAAACTTAAAACTTATAGAAATAATATGTTATTTCATATCTTCGTATTTATTTAAAATATCGATAAACTAAACACTTTCAATTACTAACATTTTAATATTAGTTGAAGCTACAAAATTAAAAGAACAAAGTTTATTAGAAAATAAATCTACAGCACCAAAAAAGAAGCCTTAAGAGAAAAAGAGCTTTACTTATATTTCATCTATAGTAAAATTAGATTCTAATTCACCTTCCATAATTAAATAAACTTCCGAAAATTTTTCTCCTTATTTTTTAATAGTCTATCCTGCTAAATATTTTACAGGTTTTAAAGAAAAAGCACAGTCAATATAAAAATTATAATTTTTATATTCATATTTACCATCTAATAAAAACAAAGGCCTGAATTTCGTATAAAAAATATCTTAATATAAATGTCTAATCATCTAAAATAATTATTTAAATATATATGTATTTTTTTAAAAATACTTATTTTTTTAAATCATCAGGCATTAATTTAAAATATTTATCATTTTAAGAAATAGGTGATAGTCTTGAATTTTTATAAAAATATTCATAATGTATATATATTTAATTAATAAGTTCTTTATCAATTGTTTTTTCTGATTAAAATTGCCTAAATAATATTAATATGTATATATAAATAAATATAAATTAAGATAAATATATTTAAATAAATAATAAAATTATATTTTATATAAATTTTAAATATAATATTTATATATATATATATATATATATTTATAAATATTTATTTTATATTTTTTAATTAATTATTTATATATTTAAAAAATATTTTATTTACATAATGAAATAATCCATTCTTCAATTTCTACTTTTCGATCAATATAGCCTAATTTTTTCCAATAATTTGTCAACACATCATTAAAAGTATTCATTATATAAGTAAAAAATGCGATTCCGCAAATCATTATTAAAATACATAAAATTCTTTCATTATTGTTTGTTGGTGTCATATCTCCAAAGCCAACAGTCGAAAAAGTTGTTAAAATAAAATAAAAATTATATAAAACTTGTTTCCATTGAGGTAAATCTTAAATACCATAAGTATCAGAAAAATTGGGTGCATTTTCTTACCTAAAATCATTTAAAAGATAGTACCATATACAAGAAACAAAATAAGTCAAAGAAAAACCTGTAATAATAAATTTTATATTTCTAAAAGTATATCTTACAATAAATTATTATTAAACTTTATCTTAGGTATCACTAAATTAAATTATTCTATTTATAATATTTATTACACGATCTTCCTTTAAAAGTTTCAAAAAACGAGGAAGTCTTGCTAATCTAAATAGTTTAATAAAAACTATCTTTAAAATATATATATATATATATAATTATAATATATTATATACATTATGATAAAATAAAATAAAAGGAAAGGTGGAAATAAAATCAATTATAAAAAATCCTCTTTATAATAAAAATATTTTTATTAAAATATAAATAAAATACTATATATAAATATAGATATATAAAAAAATAAATTTAAGAATATATGAAAATAAGTTTATATAAATAAAACTATATACAATAAAAATATTTATATATATATAAATATATATGTAAATATATATATAAATATATATATATATATTTTAATAATATACAATATATATATACTTATATATTTTCATTATACTTAATATATTTTTAAAATATTAATTTAAGATCTGTTATAATTTCATCTGTTTCTTCATCTATATACGTAGTTACAAAATTTTAAAGAATATCAAAAGCAAATAAACTTTCTATTATTATTTCACTATAACTATATTCATTTTGCATTATATCATTATCAAAACCCATTCTTTTATATATATCATTATATTTTATTTATTTTGTTAATAAAAATAATACCTAAATGAATTCATAAAACATGTATATACAATCATAAAAATATTAGTAAAATCCCAAAACATTTTATATGGAGAATTTGGTTTAATAATAATATAATATTTTAATTTTTCCCATGTGAATCCTTTTTTTTCAAATATATTGTTATATGATTTATCTTTTTTAAGTAAATTCCCTGAAGAATTAACTTATTTATCAAAACTTTATGTTCCAAAAAGTTACTTTGCAAATTTTTAATCAATAATATCTTTATTTATATATGTTTATCTTTTTTGGTATTATGATCTATTAGAATTTTATAAATTTAACATATTTTTTATATATATTTAAAAAAAAAAATTTTGTTAATTTAAAAAAAAATTAATAAAAATTTAATTTATTCAAAATAAAAATTAAAAATATTATCAATTTTTTTTTTTGCATTATTTATTATATGAATAATTTTCAAAATTTTAATAATTCTTTTTTGTTAATGTAATTTGACTTCTAAAACAATTTTTAATTTAAAATATTTTAAATTTAATATTAAATATTAGTTACTTAGACAAAATAATTAAAGTAATCAATATACATCTAAATAAATAAACACTTACTAACCATATTTCATTTTAATTGTCATAATATTTAATAAACCGAAAATATATTTAGAATTATTTTTATTAATAACAAATGAAAGTAATTTTATTCAAAATTCTTCTATATAATTAATAAAATTTCTATAAAAATATTTCATATTATAATATTTATTAATTTAATATTTTATATATTTTTTTTTTAATAAATATATTAATTAATACATTTTATATATTTTTAGGTATAATAAAAATAAGAAATTTTTTTATTTAAATGCTTATCGATGCTTAAATTTTTTTATATAAGTGAATATTTTCCTAAAAAAATGATTTTCGATAAATTATATTTATAGTTCTAAATATATTTATTTGTTTTAAATTATCTTTATTGATTATAATATTCATCAAAAATATAGTCTAAAATACAATAATTTTATTTTAAATGAAATAATTAAAAATATATAATATTTTATAAATTTTTTTAATTTTAATAATTTTTACAGTAAATTATAATTGTTTTAATTTATTTTATATGAAAATAAATAAATAATATTAATTTCTTTTGTTTTTATTATATCTTTTTATTATGTTTAATATTTTTTTATAATTTTAATTGAATAAAAAACTAAATATACTTTGTTTAAAATAATTTATTTAAAAAACAAATAAAATTTTACTTTGTAATCTTTTTATTGGAAAATTAAAATATTAATTAATTTTACAAATTTAATATATATATATATATATTTATATATATAAAAGATAATTTTTTTATTCTATTGATATATTTTAATTTATATTTTTTTAAAAACTTCCATTATACTTTTTAATTTATTCAAATATATGTTGTGTAGGTTTTAATAATTTATATTTTTATATTCTAATCTTATATTTTTTATTTTTTATTGATTTTTTATGTAATTTTGTTAAATATATATTTTTAGTTTAATTTAAACTTACCATTATATTATTTAAACAAAGTCAAAATCTTTTTTTTTATTAATAATTTTATCTACTTATAAAAAATAAGTTAATATTAAATTAGGTAAACAATTTCTATATTTTTAATAAGAATGTTATTTTTGATTTTTATATAATTCTGATGTTTTATTAATAAAAATATTATTTTATTTATTATTCAAACTTTACATTATTTTAATTAAATCTATAAAGGAATAAAAGATTATTAATATTATATAAATTAATTAATTTTTTAAAATAATACTAATCTTATTTTTTTTTTATTATTATATACATACAAATATATATTATTATACAAAAAAAAAAATGAGAATAATACTTCTTTAATAAAATTTTACTTTAGTTTAAACTTTTTATAAAATAATAATTAAAAAAAAATATCAAATAATTTATTAATTTTACTATTTTTAAAAATACTATTAAAATAAATGTTTTTGTTTTTAACTATTATTTTTTTTTAATACCATATGTATATTATTAACAGAATTTTCATTTTATCTATAATCAGAATGTAATGATTTATAATTATTTTTAATAGAATTATTAGTTAAATTCTATATATCAGAATAAAAATAAGCACTTTTATCTATAGATGGCGATGATTTTAAATAATCTATTATTTTCTGCTATCTAGAAAAACAAATATTTTTTATATTAATAATTTTCTTCCTTTATTTTTTACAATTATAATTATATATTATTTTCTGAACTTATTTTATATTTTTAGGATCTAATTATTCAAATATGGGTTTCTTTTATTAAAAAATATTACATGGTTTTAAAATTTGTTCAGTTTTTTTTTAAAGTAAATATTCCTTTTTTAAGAGAATTTTCTTTTATTTTTAATAATTTAAATTTTCATTTTTTTCGATTTTATTTTCTTAATTTTTTTCGATTTTATTTTCTTAATTTTTAAAATTTTTTTTTCTTAATTTAAAAATTTTTTTTTTCTTAATTATTTTCGATTTTATTTTCTTAATTTTTTTCGATTTTAATTTCTTCATTTTTTTATTATTATTCAATAAAAAAATCAATCCTTTTGATTTTTTTAAACTAAAAAAATTAATTATGTAGTATTTATTTTTAAAAAAAAGACTTTATTTAATAATTGATCTTCACTCTAATAAATTTATAAAAAAACTTCTTAATTTAAAACATAAGTTTCCAATATATAAGAACAAACCAAAATACTATAATTTCTTTCATTTTTTCCTAAAGCGATTTCTTCGAAACCAAATATCTCGTTTTCTCCAAGTAAAAAAAGTACTTTTTATTAGTTTTCTTTCTTTTTTTAAATCTTCATATTTTCGAAATAATTCTAATAATTTTATTCTTAATTTTCGGAATTTTATTATTTCAAAACCTTTACTTCTCCTTTTTTTATCATAAAAACCTTAAAAGGTTTTCCATTTCCTTCTTTATATACAAACTAATCCTTAAGAAAAGCCTGTTCTTGAAAACAAAACGCAATATTTTAGATTTTGTTTCTTGGAATATCATTAAAAATATTTTAAAGTCCTTTAATTTTTTATTTCATTTATAAATTTTATTCCTCAAAAGCTTTATCTATTACTTTCTAACTAATATAAAGACAAAGACAATCTTAAAATTCTCCAGCATAATATCTTAGATTTCGAAACGAATTATTAATTAAATCAATACTAGATCCCAAGCAATAACTTTGGTTAAAAATTCCTTAGTTTTAATTAAAAAAACCCATATTTTTTTAATTTTATTATTCTATTTAAAATTTCTAATTTATATCTAAAAGTGTATTTTTTAAAAGACTTGTTCCTTTAACTTATTCGAAGCTATTTTTATGTTCTAAAATTTAAGCTTTATTTATATTTTAACTTTTTTCACTTTTTGTATTACTATTTTTTCGAAAATACGAAAAATTTTGAACCTCTTATAAAGAAGAAAAAGATGAAATGTTTTCTTAAAATTCACAAAAAGTTAGTTAATTTTCAGTTTTTTATAAAGGTTTTTTTATTTAAAATAATTAATACCATTTATTTTATTTATTATAGAACATAATTTTTTTTAAATATTTTCACTTTTTTCTATATTTGTATGTTTTTAAGTTATTATATATTCGTCTAGTTAACCTTTTAATATAATATAAATACCATCATATTAGTTACTTTTTAATTATTAGCTTGGATTAAAAGAGAATATTTTTAAATATTTTATTAATATTCGAAAATAATCTTATTATTGATATATGTTATGTTTAATTAAATATTTTTCGAAATATTGTTTATAGTTGTTTAAAAATTTCTTTAGTTTTTCTTATTAGGTTTAAGTTATTTATTCAACTAATTCGCATTTTTAATAATAAAATTTTACAGATTGTTATATAATTTTTATAAGTTCTAAATTAGGCTTTTTTTCATTTTAACTACTTTCAGACATTTCAGTATTTAAATTATGTACTATATTAATTTTTTAAATACTTTTTTGAAAAAAAAACTGTTTTGTTATTTAAAATCAAAATTTCTATTGGATTATATAATTTATATAAATTAATAAGTTTAATTAAATAATTTAAAAAATATATTAATTTATATTTATAATGTATATAAATGTATATATATATAATATATATATATATATATATATATTATTTAAATATATATATTATTTTCTTATTTC